CATCGTCTGATCTGATCATCCTGATATTTATCATCAATACAAACTCTGATAATCAGAAACAACAGTGGAAGGAAATGAAGCCAGTCTATCGTCAGTGTTGATACTTATTTATTTATATTAATTCATATCAGGGATTCTGAAAAGCTCAGGACTTATTTTCTATGTTCATGCTGCACCAGTACTCGCAGCAAAATGATGCTGGTGAATATTTTCAGCTACTCCAGCACAGAAATTTGGATGAACCAAAATTCATCACATTCAGATATCCAGGCTAAAAGCCAACAAGTCCCTTTTGGGAACATTTTGTCCAGAGAACCTTTTAACGACTCTTTACAACTCATCATCATAAGCCAGTTCCTGAGCCTCCCTCCCTGATTAGGAGTGGACAGTGAAGGTCTACGTATGAAGCTGAATTATCAAACAGTGCCTGAAATCCTAAATGACCCACAATGTGCTGGTGTTGCAATCTGGAAACATTTTGAATCTTGGATATGAACCCGTCTCTACATCAGCGTTCTGACGGATGTGTCAGGGAGGAACAGTGATGCAGGCAGGAGGGGGGGCAGCTGTCAGGACTTTTGCCTTCAGACAAACTATACGTTGTGTGAGCTCAACCGACTTATGTGGATGAAATGCTGATATGAGTGAGAACGGAACCTCTGGTTTACAAACACATTAACCCTCTCTGTAAAATACTTTATACCACTTTTCTCGACTTAATACTTTCTTATCAAAACTATGACAGTGCTCTTCTTTTGACATACGCACGACCAGAGCTCCGAGCCAAAACCATTCACACAGCTTGAGTTGGCTCCAGGAAAAACGATTTCCAGCAGGTCTGTGCAGAGCAACTTGTTAAAATGTGAATGAGGTCGTTGACATGTCCCACTTTTTGAGACGATCGGCTTCATGAGACCGAAGAGACGCCGTGTTCACCTGCTCCAGCGTCAACGTATGAAAGCTCCTCGATGTGGTCGGTGTCGGTCGCAGGTCGACTGACTACGCGCATCCATTCACCAGCTCAGTGACAACGCAGGTCGGGTACACACCCAGGTTGAGAGCGGATACGGTTACAGGCATCGAACGGACGTCCGGCTGATGCAGAAGGCGGGGGGGGGGGGGGGGGGGGGGGGGGGGGCCCAGAGAAATTCCACCGGCAATTTCATTAGTGATCAAATGGAAGTAAGACATGTCTCCCTCTCTCTCCTGAAGTGCACACACAGCATGGAAACAAAATGGAAACTCAATCAGACGGCGCAAACGAGGCCTTAACTTGGTCAGCTGGCTGCTTCGTGTCTGACGTCCACGCCAAATAGGTGATGTCCACATGTCAGACAGTTTATGTCTGGTACCTCATGTGAACGCCATTTCCTTAAAGGTCTATATTAGAATTCAAATAAACCAAATGACAACATGAAAACAACGTTCAACACCAACCACCAGCTGACGATCATCAGGTGAACACACATTTAGTAACTCTGCAGTCAAATACCAGGAGGAGACCAAACATGGAGCTACAACAGATTTATCATTAAGTGAAGTGACGTCGGTGTCTTCTACGTGACGGTCGGCACTTTTTCACCTGGAGATTTTCTTTTTGTTTTTCGTCCATCGCGTGTTAGGAGCGTAATCAACCCCTTCCACTTGCTCACAGGGAAATCCTGCAGGGTATCCCCTGGGTCACACGTCCACTTCTTAGAAAGAGAGTTATTTGCATTCACACATGAACGCACACATGAAAGCAGCTTCAGAGAAACGAAATGTTTAACGATTCCTTCAAAGCTAAACATGGTTTCCAAGAAAACGCAGTCCCCTCGGTGTCTCTCTGACTGGAGGATAAACACTGTCATATTTTCACTGTGAAAACTATCCCCAGGCTACAAACTTCTGGAATTGAAGCAGTGGCCATTTACTGTAAACTACTGAGAGGAACTCAGACGTGACAGTAACATACAGAGTCATCCTCTGTGCTGACAAACCAGACCTGACGAATCACCGGCATATTTCTAAACAATGGATAAGCATCATGTGATCTGAGTAAAATCAGCCGTTATCGCCTGTATCACAATGGTGCGATGATAACTGGAGGGAGAAGAGGCTCTGATCTCTGTCTCTTCACAGAAGCAGCACCACTTCCCTGAAATGACGGATGATTTTCCCTGTTACACATCGACTGTGCCGCACTAAACCAGGAGATGAGAGGTGCACTTTGAGAAATGGCTTTAGTGCAAACTCCCAAAAACACAAAGCATCATCACTCGGGATCTGAAGCTCAATTTAGAAAATCACCAATTTTGTTTTCCGAGTATTGAACTCGGTTCAGTTGAGCAAATTTTGGTGGAAATATTTTTGGGATTGAACCGAGATCTGTCTTCAACTTGCACACACTTGCACAGACAAGATGATATCCGTGCCATAGTTGTGTCAGCGTTTTAATACGAATGATGCGTGGATCGCATGACTCAGGACGTGATTAGCCCAGATCAGAAAAACGACACTCCTTGCATTTCAGAACGATTCCTGCATGACTTTCATTTTTCGGGGGGGTTGCTTCAGATGCCAGGCTGGAGATGACAGAATAGTCCATCCCCCCTCGTTGGTTTCCACGGGCAGCCGGCCAGATGACACAGCCAATAGTACACTGCATCTTTGTTTCCTCAGCGAGGAAAGCGACAACGCCGCCACTGCAAGTGACCCTGCAGGCTTGTTGTGACATCTGGCACTGGAATAGTGCGCCGTTATCAGCCAGGGCCACTTAGCAGAAAGACAACACACCAGAATAGCCCTCTTCACCTCTGCCTCGAGGTGTCAGTAAGTGCTTCAAGTGAGAGACTCCCACAGCTTCATACAGTAAGTGAACGTTTTAAATGCACGTAGCTTCAAAAAAACCACCCAGGGTCGGCCACAGGAAAGTGGGTCAGCTCAGGTGGTGTATGCCCCCCCCCATCCGATGGTCTTAACAATAGCGTCCCTCATTAAACATATGGCCTTTACTGTGTGAAATCACACCTTTGCCATTTTGCCCTGAAGCTTAAAAACCTTAGCAAAAGCCGGTTGTTAATTCACTGAGGCGACACTCAGCTGCGGGGAACCCTGAAATCATTAAACACACAAAGACGGAGGCTGAATCACACATTTGAGGCCTTCAACACAAAAACGGACGAAATCACAAGTCCTTGTTTTTGTTTTTTTAAATCTCACGGTTCTCACACAGTGAGTTTCATCACATTTACAGTTCAATTACAAGAAGGAAGCTCAAGGGTTTTTTTTTCCAAAATAATGTTGATAATCTTAATCTTTCAGTGATTGTTTTTTTTAGATAAATCCGATGATGGAGTCACTTCTCTTGCAACCACACTTCACATTAAGATGCACGTATTCTGTTTGTACAGCCCATAATTCAAATTAAAGTGAATCAAACACATGCTGCGGTTTTAACAATGACACAGACTGAAGATATTTACAGTAAGTTCATTCAAATCCAGGAGGAACAAAAGCTAAATCAAACAAACAGCTCTGAGCGTGTTCAGCGCTACAGCACATTACTACAGCGTGTTCTTCCTGCCCGCACACCTGATTCACACGCCTAATCCGTCAGCTATCACTCATCTGCTGTAAAACAAGATTAATTGCCGGGGGCCGCCAGGAGCCTCCTTGCACCCACAGCAGGGGCGGAAGCTGTGGGGTGCAAAGGGTGTCAAAACTGAACTGCTGCCTCCGGGGCATCGAACGCTCCGCCTGAACACGTCGTTTTCACGCTCACACAATAATGTCACTCATTCATGATTATATTAGAGAGTTAATTGGAGCGTCTGTCCAGGCCGGGCCTGCAGATACAGCACATGTTCGTACGTCACACCAGACGACAGAATAGAGATTTCACCCCCTTTTCAGTCAAGTTTCCATTCTGTAGAAAACCAAACCACTTACTTCCACATTAAGTCAACTTTTACTTCCTCTGCCATTTCCTAAAATCATCCAACAAAACTTGACAGTGACGAGCGACGAGGTCCCGTCCCAACAGCTGAAGTCTTGACACACCAGATATCACTAGATGGATTCTATAGAGATAAAGTTACCCTGATGAATTAGAGCTGTGCCATAACGGTTTATCCATAAGAGAAGTACGCGTAGTTTCCCCCTCGAGGGTCCACATATCAAAAGCATTTCCCCCTGTCTAATTACCCTATCAGGGCCCTGGCAGGTGCAAGCTGGTGGATTGGAACAAAGCCAGCGCTCATATATCAAGGCGACTTTAAAAGATGACCCAGATGACACTGTGAACCACTGTAGCTGCAATCGGATCCTGGTGAAGCATGCAATCATTTAGCTGTGATGTGTGTCAATTCTCATAAAGGAAGGGATCCTGCTAAGACCCCCCCCCCCCACACACACACACATTTAATGAGGATCCATCCTCACACATGACCTCAAAGACCTGGTCCTGCGATCCTGAAGGAGTTGAGGTAAATGTTGGTTTGGTTACATGTAGAACTGCAACTTTACAGAGAGGTTCTTTCTGTCGAGCCTTCCACGGATGCTGCAGTCAGTCAGTTCTTTGATTCATCACTCAGAAGTAGATTCATCTGCTGTATTTTGTTCATCGATTGATCGATGAAATCATTTTTCAAGACGAAACGTGACTGAATTTGATGTTTCCAGGTTTTCAAATGTGACAATGTGAAACTTTTGATCATTTCAAGGGAGTACATTTAATATTGGGGGGGGGGGGGTTATTGGACAGTCACTGAGACATAACACGTACATGTACTTTTGGGTATTTGATATAAGCTTACTGATGTTTTATCAATCAACCTTGATGCAATGACAGATAAAACGTTGTGGAACTTATTTTGAGTGGATGAACTTTTTATCCACATCAGTGCAGTTTGGATTCCCTCTCATTTCTGAACACATGCACCAAAGAGTGACCATTCAATCCCCCGTGTGTTAAACGAGGTTCTCTTGAGAAGAAACAGGGTCAAGAGATCTCCACTCACCGGCCACGCGAACTGGAAGGGGATCAAAATCCTGCCGGCCTCGTCGAATCTATTCGCGTTGCTCTTCCCGCTCTTAAAAGAAAACATATTTCCACCGAGAACTTGCGTAGATCCAGCTCCGAAGGTGCAGGGGCTGCTGGTGGTGACCTCCATCTGGTACTCCTTCAGGCACACTTTGAAGTACGTGTCGCACTCGTCTCGGGTGCAGCGCAGGTCCTGGGAGCTCCGGGGGCCGTCGCAGCACTCCCCGTCCGCCAGCTCCCCGTTTACATTCTCCACGGAGATCAGCTGCAGCTCGAAATAGCCGGTTGACTGGGACACCTGCAAACAACACGTAGGAAAAAGAAAATCATACATATAGGAGGTTATAAACAGGCTGCGGGGCGGTTTAGGCTGCTTCAGTTGGTGCGTAAAGAGGTGGACAAGTGGCCAAACCAGCGTCAAAAACCAACATTTGGCGCATGTTAAATGTGCCCAAATAATCTGCTGCATCATGAATGGAGCACGTGAACAGGCTACACTTTGCAGCATGGGTGGTGTTGTGTGTGTGTGTGTGTTTTTGATTATTATTATTTCTTTCCAGCGGTGAATGAACCGCTGCAGCAGCCAATTGATCCAAACTTGTTCGAATCTACGCAAATCATTTTTGGGGTAAAAAAAAAAAAAAACCCGCAAAGCGCGCAGCGTAAAAACCAACATGGAGAGCCGCCTGTGCGCCTGTATCGATTCCTCACTTCAATCCTGTCACGGTGACATGATCACATGCTCCACAACTGACGGCGACGTGATTCAATTATCGATTAATGCGATGCATCGGCCCACGCCCACCAACTTTTGACATTGGTGATTTTCAACAAAAAAAAAAAAAAAAGCATGAACCCACGCATTTAATTGATTTTACGCGCGGCGGAATCACACATCTCGAGGCTGGATAATTAGAAATAAACAAGAGCCGCCTCACCTCCGTCCATAGCGTCAACAGCAGGCACACTATTGGGAAGCGGTTCCTAATCCTGGTGCGGTTCCACATGCCTCCGATGAATTAGAGTGACATGGGGGGGAGAGAAGCGGTGAGAAAAGACGAGCAGCCGCGGACCCGGCGACGAGTTCCTCCGCTCCTGACATGCAAAAACGCACGATTGTTCACATGCGTGTTTTCCTCCGCCGTGTGCGTTCACCGAGCCATTACATGCGTGTGTGTGAGGTGGAGAGAGAGAGAGGGAGAGCGAGAGAGAGAGAGGATTGCAGCGCAGTGTGACGGTCCATGCACAGAGGATCCCTCCGTCAAATCTCTCCACACAGCAACTGAGATGTTCCGTAGCCACAGCCTGAGGAGGAGAGGATGTCTGATTTGATTGGCAGCCACGCAAACCACTTACAAATTGGCCTGCGGGCAGTCTCTGAGCCAACCGGATTAAGGGGCGGACAATAGTATAATAACCCCCCCCCACCTCCTCCACCTCCTCCTCCACCATCCTCCTCCTCCTCCTCACCGTCCTCTTCCTCCTCCTCCCAAAACTTGAATTATGCTGCCTCTCCACCACTGAGCTTCATTTAAACAGTGCAGGGTGCAGACAAAGCGTCTTTAATTAAAATGCACCCACAGATATGATGAACCCCTCGTTTGTAAATGAGGACGTGCTGGATTTAATTACTCTTTATACTGAGCACAAAGATGGAGGATGATTCTTTTTTTCTTTTGTGTGTGTTTACTGTCAATAAAGCAAAACTTTGAAAACCCCTCCTGAGGTCACCTGACATGTGATTATACTTTACATTCAATCAACAGTAAACATGGAACATTCCTTGTTTCCTTCATTCATTTGCTTTTATTTTATCATAGTGATGTTTTAAAAAAAAAAAGCAAGATTTGATTTAATTGTGACACGGTTTATTTAATCCTCTTGCCTGGAAATGTTGTTTTCATTGTACTCATCTGTTTCTGCAGAATTAATGGTTAAAAGTCATTTTTCATCAAGACCCCCCTTAAATCAACCACATGCGTTGCAGAAGTGTAGAGCGCCCTCTACTGTCTGTGCACCACTCACCACCTGGTTCTCCGTCTATTGCAATAGGAATAAATTAAATGTGCAAATATAAACAATTCAATTGCCCCTAATATGTCTTCTTATGTTGTGTTATTGGTGACAGAAATTGTTTCCCCCACATATATTAAATTCATCCTCTGTTTCCTGCTGCACTGACCTCGGATGCCACGCCGCAGGGCCTTTGGTTTTTGTGTCTGAGATAAAGTGCCACCATGGCTGGCAGCATTTTAACAAACTATAATGACGTCCACTGTGGAGTTTACCTTCCTCATGCAGGTCGTCAGTTGATTTTGAACAGTGCAGGAGTCGTAGGTGGACGCCACGGCTGCCTGAACGTGACGCACATTTAAAAAGTGAAAACACTTGAATTCAGTTTAGTAGATTTTGGGTAATTCTGCCAACAAACAAACCAACAATTGATCGTAATTCATATCAACTGGTGACGTTAGAGGTTGTTTTAATGTCATTAAAGTTAAATGTTGCCATTAATCATGTTCCAGTAAACAGCTGAGCACTTAAACTACGAGTTTTCCTGTAACATCCCTGCTGAGGTGTACGAGAAACCTAACATGCTACCAGGAGACACGTCGCTCGCTGTGTGACAAGCACAACAAGACAGAGAGAAGCCGCCAATCAAAGTGTGTGTGACAACAGCACCCCCCCCCCKCCCCCCCCCCCCCCCCCCCCGTCGTCTCTCCGTGTCTCCGTCTTCTTCTCGTCAGGCGACTGCCAGTCCGTCAGATAGGCCCTCAATGGAGGCCCCCGATAACCAGAGCTGCTGCAGCCGCTTTGACTGGAACATTTCACACGCTGTCATGAGTACATGTGAGTGCCTTAAGTTGGATCGCACCTTGTAAAGGGCCTCAGGTGGTGAAGGAACTGTGTGTGAGAGTGTGTGAGAGTGTGTGTTAGTGTGTATTAGTGTGTGTGTGTGAGTGTGTGTTAGTGTGTGTTAGTGTGTGTGTGTCACATGTGTGTATTTAGCCACACTAGCAGCCTCTTGGACAGAAACATGTCGGTCAGTCGGTCAATCCACAACTTTGGTCCTGACTGAAATGTCTCGACAACCTTTGGGATGGAATGTGAGAAAGTTTGTGCCGACGTTCACGGTGCCCAGAGGATGAACCATAATGTTGCAGTTATCATGAGGTTTAACAATGTAGACTTGTAGCCACTGAAGTTGGCACCTGCTAAACTTTATCAGCAGTTGTAATGCTGATATTAGCATTAACCACAGGCCGTAGACTTTGTAAATTTGGACGACAAAAGCTCGGCAAGAATCATCTTGATCACCCCCTAGTGGCTGGCTGCAGTTACAGGTCATAAAACCAGACTAAAAGGTCAACCACGTGTTTTCTCAGAGATGGTTTCTGTCATCGTAGATAGATAAACATCCTGTTTGACAGCTGAGACTGACTCGCGATTGGTCGATCTCCTCTCTACCGGGCAGACTGTGTCTCCAAATGACGCCGAAAGCACAAGATGGCAGCTCCGAGGTATTTTGGCTTCATTTTTGTACAATGGGAGGAAGTGGAGGCGTGTCATCCATCTTTATAAACAGCGTGTGGTACAGCCTCCCAGAGATGCTAACGTGGCTGTGAACTCCTCTGTCTTGCACACATGCTCCCTAAATGATCAATTTCTATAACATCCTCTCCATCTAGTTTTTATTTCCCTGCCCATGAAACTAAAAACCTTTGGCGCTCAGCTCATCTTCTTCTGCATGTTAAGTAGTTATTGTTATTGCCTCTGAACAAGCATTTAGGCCATAATGGTTCTCTAATATGAGCCTCTCCATTGAAAGCGTGACTAATGAAATTTGTCAAGCATCTCTCTGAGCCCCGAGAGCTCCACCAGAGGAACCTGGATATACATTTAGCCTTTGAATAAGAGATGATTCCACAAAATCTCTCACTGAAAAATATACGCGACCAAAGAAACTACGCAGAATGAATCACATGTCAAACGGTTTCATGAGGATTTAGCCTGAATGAGATCGAACATGTCATAAAAGACAAATACGAATCTAATGTAGCGTCAAATCAAATCATGGTATCTCCTGAATCTAACACCTTCCAAAGGGCCTCGGGTGATGTGTGCTTATACTCTGTCTTTCTGTTTGCATACACCACATGTACGCATGTGTGTGTGTGTGTGTGTGTGTGTGTGTGTGTGTGTGAGGCACAGAGAGAGGACAGTGTGTGTGTGTGTGCAGGAGGAGAAGGGATTATGAGTGGGAGCACTGTGGGGGGTTTGCCAGCCTCCAGGGGGGAGGTGAAGTGGATTTCTTCTCTCATCCATTTTTCATGGCTTTTCTCCTTTCAGATCTCCAGTCTCTGTACATACGGCTGACGGGTCGACTCGCTTTTATCTCCGAGCATCTTTTTTTGGGGACGCAGTGTGTGTGTGTGTGTGTGTGTGTCTGGTGGCGTTGGTTTGGGGGGTTGTCGATGGTGACGGCACGGGTCAAGGTTGAGACATTCTGTTTTCCACCGAGCTATAATGACGATCCCGGCGACTTAGATGATGCTCATTTGCCGGAGTCTTTGAAGAAGAGCTTTTAATTGTGTCTTCCTCTAACGGTTGAACCACAGGATACTGAAATCTGAATATTCAGCGTGGATCAGTATGTTCTCCACGGTGCAGATGCGTGAATGTGGTGAAGCTTGTACTTTTGAAGGTCTGACCACATGGACCACGAATAAAAAATGCAGTTTAACAGCAGTTTATTTCCCTGGTGGATTAACTCTAAACAGAAAAAGGGGGGATTTAATAATTAATGACCACGATTAGTGACCTCCAGGGTTCAGCGTTATTGACCAAACTTGTTTCCTGCCTTTAACAGAGGTGATCCAATAATGCTTCTCATGTAAAATACCATTATAGTAAAACTGCTTTGTCCTTTTTTGGTGTTGGAACCTCCGGAGGTCACATCCGGATAAAGGTCGATCAAACAAAACAAAAAGCGAAACGTTCCAACGTCAGAAATCCTTTTCTTGTTCTCATCTGCGTAGAGTGGGACAGGTGCAACTTCTATTCCATCTGAATCGTTTTGCATTTTTTCCATTCCTGCACTGTTTAGTTTGAGACATACAGTCAAGAGAACCTCTCGTACCCTTATGTTCTGCTCTGATGATCGTGCTGCATACTTTTGTGCTTTCACTTGCAGAGGGCTCAGCTTTCATACAGAGCGTTGCAGGTAACGTGACGGACATTTTGAAACTACCTGGAAATGCATGGGTTGGTTTCAGTAACACTGGGCGAACAGGGCAACACACGCAGGTTTTTTGACGGCGGTTTACGATGGAAAAATACAGTTCCAACGTTAACCAGTTCAGCGAGTTAATGACACTTTGTACTCGACTGTATCTCGCTTTTCTTGTTCATACTTTGGAAATGACTTTGTAGTCGCAGTCCCCATTTAACCTTCGAGATCCGGAGACGTGACAACAAAATAAATGGTTCGAGACAGCTTTTCATTTTATGTGTTTTCTGTGATGGGCTGCCAGCACGTCTCTGTTTATACAACGATCACAACCTCAGTGATCGTCTCAAACAAGTTTGAGGAAGTAAGAGCTGCTCGAAGCAGAATCTTTCTCTTCCTCCTCTCACCGGCCTGTGAGAGAAGATGCTCAGATAACCTAAACACTGTCGGCCCCGCTATGAATCACTGATCAAAAGATTACAGAGGAAATGTGTGATATTGTTTAGATTTCCTTCCTTTCAGTATAAAATGTTCCCATTTGCCTCTTTCCACATATGGAGATACCTAAAGGGGCGACTGACTCTAAAACCCTCAAATCCACCCCAGCATGCACAGCACAGAACCTCGTAAATATACGTCGCTGATAACGAAGCTGCACAAGAAAGCAGAAAGCAGGACAGCAAAACTTTTATGGCTCGCTCGATATCAGCCCTTTAAACCAGAAACAGGCCGAGGGTATTCACCTGGTTCCTGTCTGACGACTGTTTATCAGTCTGAACCAGTCGCTCCTCTGCTCTTCCTCAAAGCTCAACGCCATGTTAATCCAAGGTTATGACCTCGTGGAGTCGAGGGCAGGAGAGCAGAACATCTTGTCTTCATTTCAAGCGAAGGTTTGGTGAAAGAAAAATAAAGAGAAATGATGGATAACTCGGTCGGAGCAGGAGATTCAGAGAACGTCCATCTATGGGTCCATCACCTCCAGACTAAATTTTATGGATTTAATTGTGTACAGACATCCATGATGCCAAGAGGATGAACCCTTACAGCTGTTCTCTATAGGATCAGTTAGACTACATACCTCAAACATTGGATAGATCGCCACGAGTGTTGCTGCAGATTCCGTCTGAAGCCGGATGAAGAACTGACCTTTCACAGAGCGTCACTGGAAGTTTTCACTCATCCTGAAAAATACACATCAACTGATCATTTTTGTTTAATCACTGATATCTAAGAAATAAAAGTAATGAAGTACAGAGTCACAGAGGACTTGGTTTGTGGTTTTTAATTTTTCTATATCTAATTTAATATATATATATATATATATATATATATATATATATATATATAAAAGGTCAGAAACCACACGTATTCCCCGTTTCTACACAGCATCATTTGCATACAGATGGAGAGTGTGTGAGAGTGTTTTGGAATCACTTTGGCTCAGTTCAGCTCGGTGGCTGCACTAACTGCAGCGGTGGATCCTGTCTGTCCTTCAAAGGGCAGGTCTCAGCTCCCACCTGTGAATGGAGTGCATTCAGAGAGGAGGGCTGGTAATCCATCTGCTGTGGTAGCTCACTAATCCAGATGGTCTCTGGAGGACACAGACATCCCATGTGTCCTGTTACAACATGAAAGCAGCAGGGACGCAATTTAAGTAAGCACCCCTCCAAATATGGACGGGTGGAGGCAAGGGGAGGAAGTGCTCGTCGAACAGTTGGTCGTAGAACACAGTATCTGTAAGAATTAATTTTTTTTTAATCAGTGGCTTCTCAGAACTTGTCACTCTTACCACCTTCATCTTGATGCTGGTTCACTTTCAGCTTCTCTCTGGTGACGGAACTTTGTTTTCTTGTCTCACGTCCTGATCCAAAAAACCCTTTTGACATCTTATAAACCTTTAGACTTACTTCTAACTTTATCTACTGGTTCATCTAAACCAGAAAGTACATAAATCAAAGAGTACAGATACTAAAAAAACACTGATATTCTTTGAAATATAAGTTTGAAAGTAAATAAACTTAAAGACAGAAAGAAATGTTTTGGGCACCAAACCCATTTTATTTCAACTTAATGCAATGTCATCCAAGACAGTTAGTGCACATGCAAAGTATCATATTTAAATATATACTGTATGTTTGTACCAAGTGTCATGTTTTAAAAGTTAAACATTTCAACATTAAGGTAATAAATTAACAAAATCCAAACCTCACTGAAATCACTGCCCACAATGAGAATACACTTTTAATAAAGCTTAAAATACATGAGAAATTCAGAAAACTGTCATGATCGTGTTTGTACCTTTTTTTTTTTTCCTCCAGGAAATATTTTTTTAAAAACACAAAGAGTAAGACACTAGAAAGAAAAAAGAAAAATCACAACTGGACAAATCTCCTCATGTCTTTTTACGATGAAAAAAATAAATACTTCTTTCACTTAAAGGTATCATGTACTTTCACTAAAATATGAATCGAATAAGATACACGTCAGCTTTATTTGCGTCATAGCAGCAAATCTTATAATTATCTTCCTCCTGCTGCTTCTGAATATTCAGCTACCGGTCTGCAAGTAAAGAAGCAAACGTGAGTGGACTTCTTCCGAAAAAATCAAAAGTGCCGTCTTCGAGGATTTTATCAGCGAAAGATTTACAAACTGAATATCGAGCAGATCACCAGAGGAATCTGTGAACTCTCTCATCCTTGGTCCGATATTAATGTAACAGGATAGTACAGCTTCTTTAATTACAGATTACTTACACATAGCACCTTTGAATACCCGACATTTTAATGATGAATTGTGGTTCAGCTCGTGATCACTGGAAATACAGTAAGAAATTGTCGAACAGTGCACAAACCATGAAACGAAAACAAAAACAAAAGAAAACCAATCACAGTTGAAAAAGCAACTACAGCATAGCCATGAGGGGAACGTCTATAAAAATCTGGTAGTGATGGATTTAGTTTCCTAAACAGAGAAACACTTCTGACGTGAGAATTTGATATGTCGATGCTTTAGAAGCGAGCGAGCGAGCGAGCGCACACTAAGTATTTTCCTCATGTGCCTGAGTGATGGAGGTAGAGATGTCCGATGCCGGGCTAACGGTTCAAATCCAGCAAAGGAAAGAATGAATCAAACGACTATTTACTTACCTCAAATGTTAATCTGCCTTGATATCTAATAGAAGTAGCACATGTCTTACCACTTCACTCTGAACTGTCAAAGGTGCATTTAGTTTTGTCGCCGGAGGGAAAACGAAAAGTTCAACATTTTTCGAAAGAAGCTTGTTCACATTCAGACCTGGTCAGTTCATCTGATTGCAGGTGGACAGCTCGTGGTTCACCTGGCGTTAGAATGCAAGAGTGATAACGTATAACTTGCCCAAGGGCCCCATGGTTGGGACTCAAACCGTGGATTTGGCAGTCACGCAGCATGTAGTTTTAACCATTTGCTTAGTGGTGCGTCCCTATAGCTTCATATTTACTGTACAAACATGAGAGCGGTGTTAGTTGAACTGTTCCTTTAAATCCTCCGTGAACGAATTCAACCCTATGAGAGTCTGTGGTTTGGGTATTAACTCAAATTTTAGTACTTTCTGCAGAAGAACACACATTTGAACCTGAATAAGATAATAAAAAAAACATAACCAGCCACTTTTAAATAGCTTATAAAACTAATAAAAAAACATTTGAGTACAAAACAGACTGCAGGTCTGACGAAGTAGATCTCGACTCCACAGTTTGAACCAAAATAAACAGACAGACCTTTACTTGAATTGACATTTCCATCTTATATTTATTCTGTATAGGCCCTGGTTGAACCGGCTGAACCTGAAGTGCTGCCACACTGTTTCTTTTGGCAACTGAATTCTCTGAAACAATCGAGCTTCAGTAACAACATCAGACGTTGAGACTGGATGTTTGTTTTCCTTGTGTCAATCATTAATGCTACTGTGCGTCTTCGCACACTCGACTTTCAGATAATCGCCGGAGGAAAGGCGTGGACGAATGTGCACCTGTGTCGGCTTCCTGGCTGTCACTGCCTTCAGCGGCAGGCGTTAACGTGGAAGAGCAACACGGCCTCGTTATTCTGCGACGACTTTCCACTGAACAAACAGACGGTTTCAGCCGAAGGAGAAGTCACACGGTAGCTTTCCGCAATTGACAGGCACAAGGTTACAGATCCGCGGAAGTAAAAATGGCTTTTGTTTGTCACATTTTCAGGTCAAGACCATTCAGAAGCAGACGCCCTCATTTCAGCCCACGAACTGTTTTGATATACGATAAACAGGTTTGATTCGTCTCTGTCAACTCTGCAGTGATTATGGCTAACACCTGTAAAATGTGTTCACATGTGGGCAACAGATAATCAAGAGTCATTCCGAGACAAACGGCGACCACTTTCATTATTCAAAACTCAAACGAGGCAAGAACAGGACAATGGGAAACTGTGACGGAAGGTATCGGTGAGATTCTGCATCAAACCCAACAGGATGAAGGTGAATGAGGTCGGAGATCTAATGAGGATAAACTGCCCAGTAAATACGTTTTTGAAAACTACGAAGAACATTGAAACATAACGTGGATGCTGCTGATCATGATGTGCAGTTAAATATATTGTAAAAGGAGACGTGATGCTTTTTCAGTGTCTCTTTCCTCCAGTGTGTTATAAAGGTTATTTGTGAACAGTGAGGAAAGTGATGTTTTCTGAATATTACAGAGAGTAAACCTATTCAAGTATCAACCCAAATTAAAACGATGAACCCAACGCGAGTTTAATGTCTCGTCCCAGTTTCCAAAGGTGCTTTCCACAAGTGTCCTGATGCTAAACTTCTAATTCCTGTAGTTTGAAAGTATTTGAAATGTTCTATCTAAATTCAAACTTTATACCAACCAAGTTTGGAAACCTCATCACTCCTGAGAGAACGTGGATCAATTTAGCAAATTAGTTATTTTCCCAAAGACATAAAATAATGAGTAAAAACAAATCAAGTTGCTCCAGTAAACTAGACGATCGTACATCAAGGGGGATAAAAAAACTCCATTATTGGGTGTAGAGGGAGATAAATATGGCTTTAAGGGTTGTGTGCATATATTTAACACAGTTTGGGTGGAAATTCATTCTCAAATATTTAGTTTGGTTGATTCATTCAAATGTAAATTCTAGTTTTGTTTAAGATAGAGCCCAAGTGGCACCAGACAGAGATGAAATGATGCTGAGTCCTCTTCAGGGAGAACCGCTGTGAGATTCAGGAGGGACGAGGACAAACACGCAACAATGCAATGAAAGAATACGACCAAAAAAAAAAAAAAAGCACAAGGTACTGTGGGCGTTTGATTGTCAGCAGAAAACATGAAATTAATCCTGGATTGATTTTTACATCGACCTTGAGTATTTCTGAATTTTCTCACTGGTTGAAGAAAAATACATCAACAGTGAGTTTGGGGACCAGAATTAGTTTGAAGGTGTTATAAACATCATTGCACTTAGAATCCTAACAAATAACCAAATAGCAAAGACATACAGCATTTCTTTTTTAAATAAATTAAATTCACCAAACCACCAAGTTATTCAGGCAGGTCAGTTTTTTAACAGCTGTGTCACAACTTCCAAAATCTGCTGGTGCACTATAAGAAGATCTGAACCCTGGTTCCACGTGAAATCACCGGCTGTGAGAAGATCTGCCAGCGTAGCTCTATTCTAGTTCTATTACTATCCGACTCTAGAAATGTAAAAATAATGAGATGGGGATTTTTTTTTTTTTAGGTGGGCAGTGATTTTCTAAAAACAGCTCTGCTTCAGTACTTGCATATTTTTAACAAAACGAGAAGGTGAGGGGACTTTGTGTCTTGTCACGTATTAAATCATAGATGAAGTACCAGCCCTTTTTGAATGAAGAAAAATACTAATACATACTGTAGTAAGAAGAGTAAGAACCTTGTCGCCTCTAAGCTGCAAGTGATTTTGGAAATATAATAATATCATAACATGCTGGTCATCGTCACATTCAGAGATTTTTCCCTGAACGGCCAAACGTTTGATGATTTGGTCCTGAGATTTTAGACAAACTGCTGTTGACTTTAACTTTGTGAGATCGGGTTCGTGTGAATGACAATCCAATATGTATCCGCACTGGAACTCCAGGATTAATTATTGTTCAAGGCGATGTGTCCGATGGTTGACTCCTCCTGAACATGCTCCTACACCTGCACTCGTGTGTTCCAAACTCCAGGATGTCTTTATCTCAGAAAATAATAAGTAACACAGAAGTAAAAAAAACTAAAAAAGTATCTTAACTCCATGTTATTCCTTGACACACACATTTGAGCCAAAACAACACGTCCTCAACAAACGCACGTCCCGTCGTCATCACCTCTGTGATCTACGCTTGACATTGAGTGGTTAGTGGACGGGCGTGTGTGTGACATCATTGTGTCGTCATTCAACAGGTAATAAACTGAAAATTAATGAACCAGTTCATTTTGTTAGCGTGGTTCCCACTGTGATATAGTTACAGTATTACTACCAGCATCAACAGATGCAGTACTCAATACTAGTTCAAATGTGCCAAATGAACGTCCTTGTCGTTCAAACTATATATTGTTTGAGGCAAAGATGGAAGGCGACTTTTTTTTAAAGTCCAAAGAATCCAAAAAAAGATTTTTTTAACACTGCAAACGAACTGAACCATGGTTCAGCTTGATCCCACCTCTTTTGGTCGGACTAAGTTTCCAGAAAGTGGACGAGACTGAAAAAGTCCAGAACAAACAAAGCAGATTTAAAAGTTCCCTAAAGAAAAAAAAACAGAAAAACTAAACTTTAACCCACTGTAGCTTTTTGGATCCCAACCGTGAATACGTGACATTAGTCTCAGTGTGTCGTGTCTTTGACTAACCTAGTACAGTACGCTTGAGATCAGGATTGTGCTCGACTATAGTGACACACTGATAATCAGGCCCTCGGTGCAGAGGTAGGCGTATGCTTTGTCTGAGCGGTGAAGACAGTCTGCGAATATGTCGACTGGTTAAAGTTAATGAAGGAGTTCAGCAACACTGTGATAGCTTAGCCCGGGGTACTGTGATAAGTATTGCTTAAAGGCTGTGGATCAGATCAATTAATTGAGGCGTGCCTGAACAAGTGGTGGTTAACAAACACACGCCTCACTCCTCCGTCGTTACAAGGCCCCACAATTAAACAGCATAGTCTTTGCATTACTGGATCACGGCTTAAAGGAATGCTCCACTGTTTTTTTTTTTTTCATTTAGCATGAGTGATAAGAACATGTTCAGAAAGCTGAAGGCTCATGTTAGATTCTTCCTTTCAGGTCGGTTGAAATGTTTGCATTTTACTAGCACGATAAAAAATGTCAGCTGACTGGAGGGAACCAGGAGCACGTGGCTGGTTAGCATAGTGGCTCAATGCCAAGTTCACATCATATAGGGTGGATGGTGGAGAAGTGGAAAATTTCCACGTCTGTCATTTGTGAGTTCACGAAATCAAGATTGTTGTGAGATTCCAATGACACAGTTATCTAACGACTTTGATGTGAGGCGTATTCAACAGATTTGACTCGATGCTTCCCTGACACGATGACGATTCAGATGAAAAAAACGCTACCGACAGAAAAGTCAGAAAATTGTATTTACGATAATTGATGCGACGTGAACGTACTCGCGGGAACAGTTGAATCGAGTTTACGAGGAATGTTAATATTTTTCTCACAGTCAGCAACAGATTTTAAAGGTAACATTCAAGATCCAGAATACGATCAGTGGAGGATTCCTCTAATCAAGGGCAAGCAAAAGAAGTCAGTGATATCCAGCCATTTTCTAACAGATGGCACAGTAAACAAAACAATTAACAACAATTTAAAAAAAAACGTGAAATACAAAGTGCCAGAGACAACCAGCTATGGCAAAGTTCTTCTGAGGAAAATGATTAAGACCACATCAAATTTGAAAAGATAAACGGGACAAAACTTAAAGAAACCTGCTGGCAACAAGACAAGGGGCCCACCCGTCATCGTGTACCGATTAGCAAAAAGGCAACAGAGGATAAAGAGCCATAAGGGGGAAGAATGGATGTGCTGGGCCAGTGTTTCATTTAATTTGGAATAATTGTTTTGAAAGGTTTGTGAATACCAGTTACACATTAGTTGAGATCTTGTACTTGGGAGACATGTTATTATGGAACCAGATGAAGCTAAAAATGACGCCCATGGTTTTGGGTATACGCTCGTCGTAGGCGAACGTCATGGCCTCGTGCAGCGGAACTTTGACCACCTCGATAAGCTCGCCCTCCCGTGGCTCACCTCCACCCGCGCCCACACAGTTGTCGTCGGACACCTCGGCGTAAAACATGGTCTGCTTGGAACCCGTTACACCCACGCCTGACCTGATGGAAGAAACACAGGAGGAAGAAACACGGTTGGTTTCCATTTATATCCGACAATGCTTGAAGGAGACGTTGTCGTATGTCACTGCCACTGAAACCACAGACTGTTTCTCTGCTGCAGAGATTTGTGACCTCGGTTTGCCTCCTATTCGCAAAGAGCCTCACCACAGCGTCGGCTTCTGTCAGAAACACCCTCATAGGGTTCATGAGGGTTAAGATGATACCCACCTACTTGACAGAAGCAGCCCACACATAACAGCAGCCACAGACGACACCAACAAAGCTGGCGGAGGTGTGCCAGTCAAATCAAAAGCAGAGTTATGAGAGACGTCTGTCAGAGCTGCCCAGGTGCTGCTGTCTCATGTGGGACTGCTCGTCTCCCGACACTTTCAGCTGCTGTTTCACCTCAGGTTGTTAATCATGTCCTGACAAAGACGGATGGTTCGCAGAGTGCTTCTTATCGGCTCGCTTACATTATCATTTTATAACTTCCTCCAAAATACTGTTAGCCACTGACTTTAGGGTGTATTTTTATGAAACTTGATATATTTTCCACCAAAGAGTTTTGATGATTCATGAGACGATGTGGCAATGAAGCAAGGAAATGTGCAGTAATGTCTTCAATTCAACTTTTTGCATCACAAACTCAGGATCAGTATCGTCTTGCTTGTTCGTTGGCTACTGTCGGACAATAGAGGAGCAGGAGGTGGGTGGTATCGACTTCGTCATGAGAATAGTGGTAAAACACGGACAGCTTCTGGAATCGTAGTGTTAAGGAGGAAACAACAAATGTTTTACCTGACACCCAGACTTGGATGTGGATTAATTTAAAACTGTAGAAAGTGTTTTTTAATGTTTTCTGGAATTTAAGCTTCAAATGTAGGTTCATTCTCCCTGAAACTATACATTACACAGGATTGATACCAGATAAGATCGTGAGAGGTTAATTGTATAAATCTGTGATCTGTGAGTAAAACATTTATCTATTTACTATCCAGTCCAACACGACCAGCTCACCTGTAAGAAGTAATCTTCTTCAGCTTAGCGGCAGGTACATCGTAGCCACACTCCTCCAGCACCTCTTGCCGAGCAATCTCCTCCAGCGAGAGGTCAGGTTTGTCCACCAGCCCGGCGCACAGCTCGTAGGTGACCCCCGCCGAGGCCGGGGGCCACTGAGAAGAGCTCTCCCCCTCTGAGGCCGACTGGCCCTCCTGAGACTCTGGGGCCGCGGCTTCGGCAGCGCCCTCCTCGGTTTTTTCAGCAGGCTGAGGCGCCTGCTTCTTGCTCCTTTCCCACTCACACATGTATACAGCTGGCGGTAGAAAAGACGGAGTGAATTGTTATAAGTGGGTGGAGGCAAGGAGAAATTATTGCAACTGTCTTTTATTTATTTAAGGAGATCATTGAATCAGAATACTGACATTTCTTTTGGCTATTATACTTTTAACATGATGCTTAGTGCAGGGTGAGATATTTAAAACTTAAATTGCAAGAAAATCAGATGATTAATGAATCAATTAGTGAGAAAGTTGTGAAAATTGAGAAAGAAATGAGTGAAAAATCAATCAACAGATCAATAAACAATCTTGCGGCCTAACAGATGTAAATATAATATAGCGACAATAAATATATATATATATATATAAAGCTCTAATCAAGTTTTGAGAAATGTACAGAAAGTTAGACATGAACTTTTGCCTCAAATAATCACAGAAATTGATAAATGTTAAGCATGCACCATACAATGTCCATGTATACATTTTATTTTTGTCCCTATGTGCATTTGTTTTCTAGTATCAATAAACAGACGAACACGTTGTACACCCCCTGTTGAAAACTGAATGCCATTCTTGGCTGTAGACAAACTGATTTCTTTCAGATAAAACACATTTTTTTCCCAACAGCAATGAGAGAGGAGAGGGGGAAAAAAAATATATCAGTGCCCAGACTTCCTTGAATTTAGCACAGTGCGGCGTGGAACAGTCCCTGGTGACTTCTGACAAAGGAGGTTAGGCTGCTTTGTAACGGGGCTTCTTGCAGTCTATTTATGAGTCTGCATTGTTACTCAGACCCAGTTGAATAAACATGGATTGTAATGCGCTGCTTTTCTAGTGAAAGTGCCCACAGGATACATAACAATCTAGATCTACGTAGGTGACAAGAAGAAAGTGAATAAACTGCAGTGAACAGTGCGGCTGGAGGGGCGGAGGCTCACCTGGACGGAACTGCTTGACAAGGACAAAACAATGTGAGGTGGTGTTGAAGATCAGCACTGATACACTGAGGAAAAGAGGAAAAGTCAAAGTTAGGTTACACCTCGGCGTAATTAATACTAAATGTGCTGTGGTAAAGTCTGGAGACTTTAAGAGGTCACTCTTACGGATCACCTTTTAAAGTTCTTCACGAGTTCGAAAAAGTTCTGGATTAAAATATGAACGTTCCCCAGAGAGACAGTGGAATATATATATTCTGAGTTTGTAGATCTGTAAAAGTAATATTGTAGGAATAACCAAGCTAATAAAAAAAACCACCTTAAACAATATAACAAGGAGATACTTCCATCCAATCAGAATATCATCTATTTACTTTCATTGGAAACTCTTTATTGGACGGTGACTAGAAAAGGGCAGTTATGGTCTAAAAATATAAGCGCACATGGATATGTTTATACAACACAGCCACATGTGCAGGGTCATACATTTTGGGGCTGGACCACACATATTCCCTTTGCACACGAGCAGATGACGAGATTTTCGTCACACAGACCTTCGTGGACTCGTAGACGCAGAAAACATAACCTGGCCTTAAACTGTGTCTTCAAACATGACCTTAAACAAACCACGAGACTAAATTATCTTAGCAGCGGATCTGCTTTACATTAAAATCATCGAATGCAGGTTTTTACAACTAAAACTTGTTGAAAAGGAAAACGAGCATTGACTGTTTTTTTTATTTTTTAAATCATCCACAGGAATCACGCATAACAATATGTGATCATTAATCTAATTCAAATAAAAATTGAGTTTGAATGACTAAGCAATTAACTGATAAGCATCCTCACTGGCAGCCAGTGAATTGTATACTTGCTCTCTCTCTTTGTGTATATGTGAGTGTACATGACTGTCGCTGCCAGTGGAGACTTGAGGCCCGGGGTCTGTGCTGGGAAAGCGGATGTGTCTGAGGCGGCAGGAAGCCCTGCCCTTTCTTTCCCATGGTGAAATGCAACTTGGTTCAAGCTGCAGCGCCAAGGATACTGATTTAATATCTCTCTGCGATACATACAGTGTATTTAAAGTGAAAGTCCACGGTGTGCTTTCAACAGTACGTAATAATCCCAGTGATTACTTGTCGTTGTCTGGCAGCTGCTTTCTGGTTTCAGCAAAAGCCTGTTTAACAACTTCCACTTTTACTCATGCGACATGTTTCCTTTGTCATTTAACCTCCAGTCAATTAGAGGGATTTTAAGGGTCTGCTTGCAACAAGAGAGGAATGAGTCTGTTTCACCTAAGATGCTCATCTAAAAGTTTAAAGTTGGCTGCATCATCGACCGGGGTCTGAAGCCCGAGTTCTCTTGGTGGACTCGTGTGTGGAGGTGGGTACGCTGGAAGCAGCAGCGACTCGCTGTCGGAAAGCGAAGAGACGGACGCGTTGGGACGTCAGAAGGTTTCAAACAAGGATGCGAACAATGTAAACCGCTTATTGAAATACTTGAGAGTCACCAGCTGGAACAGAAACACGAATATAACTAGCACAAGTACGGATAAAGTAATGTGGTAAATTTAGCTTAAAAGTGGACCACACAAGCCTGAGGCATGAAAGCTGTCCCCTGGGGCAGGTCTTGGTCCTGTGGTGCTGTTCCGCACCATTACAGCTGTTCTACAGCTTCCTGCTGAAAAAGGATCTAATGGTTAAACCAAGAAGCAGGCGAAACAGACGCTCAGGACTTTTCATGCACTGTTAAGCTTTCTCTGCAGCACTTCTGGCTTGACAGCAAGAAAAACTGGGTTATGGCAGACATATGTGGAGGAGGACTAAAGTGAGAACAGGTCCCAGACTAAAGATATTCACCAGTACATTATCCTCATGTCAAAACTAGATCAAGTTCAAATGGCTGAGATTTTCCTGAACAACTACAGTTGCCCACCAGTGGGAAATTAAACTGATTGTGCATTTCAAATAAATCCAAACTTGTCCTCAAGTGTAATTAGTCGACTGGATGAACTCTCAAATTACAGACATGAGAATGAAGGAAACATGAGCAGGATGACACCAAGACTTCAAACTGTGCAGATGACTTCATCGTGGATTTCTTGCACTGGCATGAAGCTAAACTCTCATTAAAAGTCACTTCCAGTAATAAACAAGCGTCACTATGCAAACACACCCATAAACACATAGGTGTCAAAATACCAAAACACTGGGACTTCAATCTTTTTTTTTTTTTTTTTTACATTCAGTGTTTATGACTGTTTCCCTCTAGATTTCTTCAGGACATCTGTCCTCGTTACCAAATCTATTTCATGAGCAAACTTCTCAGGGTTTGTTATCAGTGTCCAGTAAGGAGTCTTCAACCTGCATCTTTTTTGGCAGTTCTGTTTGGCTTCATCAAGCTGTGACCTCCAGTGTAAACCCGAGCGATTGAGGGCCAAGTGTGGTTGTGATGGCTCAGCACTGGATTAAAGCTTTCCATCCATGTCAAAGTATCCAGGGGTGAATGTCCAGGTCACCTTGTAATTTTATTAGTGGATTCACAGCAAGACAAATAGTTTAGAAATGATGGACGGTTTCGAACTAAAATCTTTAGACCATCGGAATGTCCACTGGGACATCTACGTTAATGTTCTTCTCAAGATGACCCATCAATTCCTAACGCAAGTGACCATGGGATTGATTATGTTTTAAGTCTTTATTGATGGAAAGAGCAAAGAAGAGGTGCAGCAAACTGAACCACCTCATGTGGTCTTTGCTCAAATCTGTCTTTCACATCTTTTGCTGGTTTATCTTTTTGGATGAAGCCTGCTGAGAAGGAAATGTTACGCACTCTTGAACAAAAAAGCAAAACACTCCTGCATCCATTCAATGCAGGCGAACGGGGGAATAACACATCGGCAGAATTTCCACCTGAGGAACAGCGGGATGTTCCCATGGGCTATTTTTTTTTTTTTTTTTTTACTGCTTTTGTCTCAGTGGTACTATTTTTCACGGGGACCTCTTTTTGGGGTCAGGGGTTGACGAAAGAGGGGTTAAATGACCTGAGACCTACCTCAGGGCATTACAGTACCCTGGGCTAAACAGAGCGCAGTAACCGAGGTTTTGACACAAATGTGTGATGTTTCTCTTACAGTGTCCCCTGTGAAGCTCGGACATTTATAGACATTCCCGAGGAGAAGAACAGGGATTTACAACCCAGAAAGAAAAGGTCTGTTTGTGTTGACGGATGTATAAAAACATCAAATAATGAAAATAATAGTTTTTTGTTAAACAAGGACAGTATCCCAGGTGAACCTTAACAATATCTTGAGGCAAAGGATGGAGATAAGAAACGAGATTTCATTTCTGCTAGTTTCAGACCAATGCAATTAACTTTCCCGTCTAGCGCCCTCACTGTTTTAATTGCTAACGTCCATCTGAGTACCCATGGGGGTATCGGTCTTAAAATGAGGTGTCACCAGGCGCATTGTTGGCACATCGCTACACTGAGGGAGAAGAAAGTGGGTGACCAGGAAAAATGAACTAACTTTTAGGCCAAATGAAGAAATAATATGGGCCTAATTATTTGACCACTCTTGTTACACACAAGTATTCAAACAGACCTGCTTCCTCTTCTGCAGCCTTCTGACTTTCAAATCCACCATTGTAATAGAAACCTACCGATAATGTCTTTTAAAGGACAGATGGACGAACACAACCATTATTAATCAGGAGACGAAGTGCAACCCTTCCCTAGGAGACATTTTTAGTCCTCTAGGCTTATTCCACATCCATCTGTCTAACATAGACTAAGTAAGCTGGTTTTATTTGTTAGCCCATTATGACTTTTTGTTTTAGAGCGGATGGGTGCACTGCTTCCATTCAACAGTAGTGAATAAAATTAGTGTTACCTGTCATGGGTTTGCATGAAGTCCCAGGTTTTCTTTGTGCCGTTCTATGGGAAGGAATAACACAAAAACAAACGGCATAAATAAACACAATGAAGAACATTTCAACCCTTTAACAATGTGTTTATTCAGTACTCAGCTGGCACAAGGTGTACCACAGCTTCTCCCTCACTTTGATGCATGCGATTTGAATGGCGGCATGTCAAATGCTCTGATTTATTTTTTGTGTAAACACAACATCTATTCCATAACTGATGCTTGCTTAGGCACGCTACAGTAATGTCATAAGACACGCCTAACAAAAGCATCTCCAGATGCAAAGCAGAAGCACTGCATCAAATAACATCCTTTATTTTGACAACTGTATAGTTCAACAAGCACAAAACTACTTTACATTGCTGGTATTATGTTTAAAACATGTCAAAAACAATGTGTGTCGTTCTTCCATCAGATACAGAGCTGATATCACTGTGGTTTACAGGAAACCTATTAACTCATCGTCACTTTCAAACCTAAGAGTCAGAAATGAACGGGTTATTAGGGACTTCATGTGAATTAAAATGAATAAATGCATTTTTAATTCCTGATATTTTATTTATCTTCCACTAAGGTGTATTGTAGGGGAGTCTAACTCATCCTCAGTAAGAAAAGGATGCATACTCCAGACTGTCATGGAATAATTTAGTTGCAGGGAGAGATTCCTTAAGACTAATTGCTAAAACATGTCCTGTAATTATTCAGCTTACTTGACAGAAGTTGTAACTAAGTGTTTTTATGCCCTATGGTCACATCATCACATCAACAGTGCAAGAAGCCAAGTACGCCTCCAGTAACTTTCCGAAGCACAATTACAGTCAAAGTGCTGATGCAGGTGTGGGCCGAGTACAAAAGAGATCATCAGAAACACTCCAGCTCTTAAACATGAAGGCAGCGGCACACGAACTGTCTGAAGGGTTGGCTCATTGAGTTGTAGAAAGTGTCAAGGGACAATCAGGTAAACCACCCGGATAGTCAGGTTAATTTCCATTCATGACAGGTGCAGCCAGGAACGGTTCGTACAGTTCAGGGAGACAAACTCCATTAAAGAAAAGCAGAATCACAAGAAATTCACAATCTAATCTGACTTTACAACTCATACATCCAATGATGTATAAATGTCTGCAGCTGAGGCTCAGTCTGCAGGAAAGACGTCAGTTGGTTACCGGCGGACGATCTGACAGTGACCTAGAGACTAAAACAAGTAAGACATCTCTCTCTCTCTCCCCACATTTCCTCTCAATTAAGCCAAAATAATCCACTGTTGGTCCTCTGTGCCACTAAACGGAAATGCATGGACTCTACAAGAAGAGTGGAGCCACCCTCGATCAGATAGAACAACATGCTCTGCTGGTTCTTGGTTTGAACCTTTCTCAGACTCCTGTCGGTGGCTACCCACCACAGCAGAGCGGGTGCACTCAACATACCATTCCATAATTTGTCTTTTATCGTTCACATCAAATCGACAGAGATAAATTAATTAGAATGAATCATTAACCCAAAGCATATCCCTCCCTGCACATTACATGCAATATAAATATGCTAAAGTTGGCCTATATTTTCTGTGCCTGAGGAAATATGGCCTTGATTCAAATTTAGGCTTACATCTCTTTTCCACCCACAAGATCTTTCAGACACGTACAGTGGATGACAGCTTCACAGACAAAAGGCTCATTTCACCTACAATGGACGTGCCTCCTCGTGTGCGAGTGCGCTTCTGCACTTCCACTAACACCCAAGAAATGGGAGGAGGTGAAAATGGCCAGCTAATTGCACTGATAGAATCTAACATAATAGAGCTACTGTTGTAGCAACAGGCTCCATCGTGTCAAACATTTAAGCAGAGCTGCAATTGATGATGTTTATATTTCCAACGAAAGGGAAAACACCCTAACATGCAGTTTTAATTACAAATCAACAATTGGGCAGGAGTTTCCTTTGTGCAAATATTTATTTCCTCACATGAATGATAAGATGTTAATCTGGTCGGTTTAATACTAACGTTACTAAAATAATATAATATATAATAATCACCAAATATGTCCAGCACTACACTTAACCTTCTAAACTGTAGTATTTTTGGAAGGTCTATTGTCTCGTCTTCGCGTCCTTACTTTTTGACGGACGTGTAACCAGCTCCTTCCAACAACAAACAAGTTACACAACCTTCCATATAAATCTGACTCACTCATTAGATGGTATAATAATCAACAATTAGCACTTTAACAAACGTGTTAGTAGTATAATACATTCACAAGTGCACTTAAAGAGAATGTCTGGGGAAAGTACTTCCCACACTTTGTCTAATTGTATTTAATATTCTAATGGAGACGGGGGTTCATCTTCATCCGTTTCTTCCGGGAACAGAAAAAAGAAAGCGAGAAAGAAAGAGATGCAGCTGATGACGACGAATGTAAACCATGTCAACAAAGAGTCCAACGACTGGTGCATGACCGAACAGTTCACAAACCACATGGCCTCAATGTGAAGCCAAGCTAGAATAATGCCGTTCATGCATCATTAACTATCCTGTTGTGATGTGAAATGAGAGCATGAAGCCAAAGTCTGTGTAGGTTTCATGCTATGGTAACACGAGATCATCTTTACATACTTTAAATGCTGTGTCAGGCTGAAACACTCTGAGGAGACTCCTGCGCCAACTATCGGCTGGAATCCTGGTAAATGTGTTTTTCAATTAATACCAAAAACATACAGCACTTAACAT